ACAAGGACACCTCCCCACTGCTGGGCCCACCAGAAGACCCTGAGGGAAGTAAAAAGAAGCTTTGATTCTCATACAATGGCCGTGGTATGGTCAAAGGTCCTGTGGCCCTCCTCTGATTGGCGTTACCCTTTCCAAAACCTTCGAGATTGATACAAGTCCACTGTCCATCTATCCGTATTCAAGGTGAGAAACACAACAGACAAAGAAGATAAAGTAGAAATTCAGTAATTAAGAGAGGAAATTGGTACTCACATAAGTGAATAAAACTAAAGGCAAAAGGGGGTATATAATCTAAGAAAATAAGTTTATAAATAATAATGACTGGCTGTGTGTGTGTGTGTGTGTGTGTGTTGGTACTGGGATTTGAATTCAGGCCCTGGGTACCATCCCTTAGCTTTTTTGCTTGAGGCTGATGCTCTACTCTTTAAGCCACAGATCCACTTTCTGCTTTTTGGTGGTTAACTGGAGATAAGAGTCTCCAAGCCAGGTGCTGGTGGTTCATGCCTATAATCCTAGCTACTCAGGAGGCTGCAATCTGAGGATCAGGGTTTGAAGCCAGTACTGGCAGGAAAGTCCATGAGCCTCTTATCTCCAATTTAGCACCAGAAAACCAGAAGTGGAGCTGTGGGGTAGAATGTGAGCTTTGAGCAGAAAAGCTCAGGGACAGCACCCAGGCCCTGAGTCTAAGCTACATGAAAAAAAAAAATAGTCTCCCAGACTTTCCCACATGGGCTGGCTTTGAACCACTATCCTCATCTCTCAGACTCATCTCTCAGCTAAGATTACAGGTGCAAGCCCCTGGCACCCAGATTAAAGTCACCAGGTATTATAATAAAATGTGAATTTAATGCAGTTGGACATATTGTGGCTTTCAAAAATAATTGTTTGGATGACATGTTTGACTTCAGGTACAATAGGGGAAAGCTACCTGCAACCTAGAGTGTAAGATCCCAACCATTTGTTTCCCTGCCTTCTAAACCAGTGGAAGTTATTCAGGGAAGATTGGGACCTGATGATGGCCTTCTTCTCTGCAAGGGGTAATTGCAATTTGTTCCTGGAAGCTAGGGAGGCTGGTAATTGGCAAAACACAGGAAGGACTGCTGTGAGCTGACTCATGCTGATATTGACGGGAGAGATAGATGGCAGACCCCAAGGAAAAGTGGGGAGGATGAGAGAGAGAGAGACAGAGAGAGAGAGAGACAGAGACAGAGAGACAGAGAGACAGAGAGAGACAAAGAGAGAGAGAGAGAGAAGGAAAGGTTAGTGAAGGAGAGGAAGGCTTAATTATCATCTCTGAGTCCTTGTGTGTGAAAGTGTCTTGACAGTTAATACTTTATTTGGAACAATTATCTGGACCCTTTCAATAAATAACTGTTTTACTGGGTTCAGTATTCAGTTAGTTGCTCTGGAGAAAGAACAGAGTGATTACTGGTCCCTGACAAGGCAGCATAAGACCCCACACGGAAGCAGATAAAATCCAAAAGCTTTAGGAAGAAACTTGGAGTGGGGGATTCCTAAGTGCCTTTGATTGGGTTCAAAGGGCAGTTTTGAAGCTCTCAGGAATACCCAGTGCAGGTTTAGATTTGCCACCTGAAAGGATACAAGGTCAGGAATGGACCTTTAAGCTATGTCAAAGTGCCAGATAATATTAAAGATAGTCCTACTGATAAAGACACTTGAAGTATTCATGGTAATAAGTTCAAGGTCTGTTCTTGTGCTCTACTTTTCCAAAAAGGATACGACAGGTCAGGGAAATCCATGGAATGCTTGGAAATGGAACAGCAAGGTCAAGATGGTTGGCGTGAACTGCCTCACATCACTTATATTCCCTTTATTTGCAATTGGTAACACACACACACACACACACACACACACACAAAAGGCCTGAACGTGTCTTTTTACTTCTTTTATTGAACTCCATAAATATTTTCATAAGGCTTTGTGTCATTACAACATCTTTTTTTGTTGTTAAACATTTTTAAACACACAACTTTGACACTTGTTTGACAGGGTCAAACAGTCAGATAATAGAAACAAAAGAATAAACTGGCAAATGCAGAGCAGCAAGGGGTAATCAAAATCACTGTTGCCCATCTATCCACCCCAGCCCACCCCACCCCCAAAGCACTAAAATATCACTATTTGGCTTCATACTAGAATTGTTAGAACGCTCTTGTTGCTGTCCTTAAGCGATCCATTAAAAATACACACAGATAGAGAGGATGAGAGAAGAGAAAAGAATTTTATTTCTGCATTAGAACTTCCCCACAGCAAGACTCATAGAACAAACTAGCAAAGCCTTTTGAAGAGCAAATCCAGGCCTCATCGAGTTGAGGAAAGGGGAGCTCAGGGCCATGCAGAAACCAAGGAGAATTATAGAGTTCTTGGGGGTAGCATTGCTGTGGGGACACAATAGGTTTAGATATTCAGCCCAGGTAATTATTGGGCTCCCATTTGGGCTAATAGCCTCTGGTTTGCTTTGAGCCATAGGTAGAGGGGACATTCCAATTAATTTAAAGTTAATTTCTGGTGTTTTCACAAATTACTGGCATCTGTTAAGGCCAGTGGGTGGAGAAGGGTGGAAGATGAGAGGTGATATCCCTGATCCTGGAGCTCTGAATACAGGCCCCAGAGAGGGGAATGGGATGAGAGGGCCTGGCCAAGAGATGCTAAAGGTCCAGTGACTTGTTAAAGCAATCTCTCTTGGTATGCCCACAATCCTTGGAGAAGCAAGTCAAGGATAAGCCAAGCCCAATGAGGAGGAGAGGGAAGTAGGAAGAGGTACACTAAAGGGAAGCCTGCATAGCAACAGAAATACTGTTTCCCAAGGAGGATACTTTAGCCTGGATGCTGGGCAGCAAGTTCCTTGCCACGAAGACATAAGTAAGTTATGTCTTGTGCTGAGCAGTGGTAGCCAGTCCCGAGCTCTGGTCCTCTGCTCAGCTCAGGCTCAGCTTTGCCTTAATAACTGTACAAATCTGACTTGGCAATAGTAGAATGGAAGCTTTAATAGCTTTGAATTCAATTCCCACAGGGGAAAGCTTTCCCAGTCTCTGCCAAGAGGCATAAAGCAGTACCTAAGCCCCTATGCAGCCACAGCTGCTGCTTGGTAAGCTGAAAAAGTCTTCTCCCATGAGGTCCAGGACAGACTGACAGAATCTCTAGATTCCTAGCTACAGTGGCTTTCCCTATCAGGAGCCCCCTCTCCATTCTATCTTATCATTGCAGTTCATGGTCTGCCTATGCAGAGGGCCATGATGTTGGGAGGAGGAAAAGGTACTCCTGTACCCATAGGGATCTTGCTTCTTTGTGGGAAAAGTTAGTTCTAGCCAAGTGGAAAACCTGCTAAAAATGATCTGATAGCATTTCTACCTCAGACACTTTGCCCAGAGGAAAAGTGGCCCTGGGACCCTCATTTTGCCTCCAATGTCAGACACTGAGAAGGATGTTAGGAACAAGGCCTTTGAGTGCCAAAACTATCATAAATGTGCTAACACCCACAATCCTCAGGGCCACAGGGGCAGTTCAAAAAAGGAAGACAAAGGAAAGAGGATAGAAGGAACCAGGGAAGATTGTCCATGCAACCTGCTAACAATAGGGGAAGCCTCACAAAATTGGGGTGGTAGAAACTGCAGGAACATTATCTTGGATCCAGACTGTCTCTTTCCATGCCAGTCCCTGTTTATTTCTCTGGTAAGATGTTACTATCAGCCTTGGAATGTGTCCAGGTTAATAATTTGAAGGCAGCTGATGATCTTGGTCAGGTAGGTTGTGTCTTAAAACCCACCACAGACTCCTATCAATGCTGCCTTAAAAATCTGCAAATGAGAACAGGGATGACCAGAACACTGAAATAACTGCTATAGAGAGCCCCAATTTATACCTACTTGATACTGGGAGGGAGTGGAGTGGAGCTAAATCCCTCCTCCAGGAGGCAGAGTTTCAAATCACGTTGTTTCCAGTTAAAATCATCTTTTGGGCTAGGGAAGAGATAAGCCTAAAAGGAGAGTCATAACAAGAGGAAGCCTGAAAAAGAGAATAACTGGATCCAACTAGCCCCCAAGATGCAAAACTGCAATGACTCAGCGGTACTGCAACATGAGAATCACCAGTGTCAGAAGAAATAGGCCAAAAGAAGACTAGTCCCTGAACAGAAGTCTTCTGTAGCATCACGTACAATGACACTCCCTGTCTTCTGTTTGGTTTTATACCTTTCCATTACATCTAAAACACAGTGAAAGCAGTAAAAATACCAAGCAGTTATGTTACAGGGCACAACAGAGCATGTCCAGACTGGCACAACTGTGGACAGAGGATGTTGGGAAAAGGCTGTTTGGGACCACTGCAGAGCTACAGGAACATTCGCAGATGGTTGGATGAGGAAGAGGAGATGGGGGGTCCTCCTCTTCTTCATGAAAAGTGAAAGAGGGAGGAAGGAAATCCCAAACCCACCACATCAAATTAAATTAAAAAGAAATCATCATCATCAGTATCATCAGGAATGAAAAAAAACAATATAAATACATCTATGATAATAATGACAAGTCAATGAATCACTCACAGAGGAGCAAAGAGATTATCTTAACAAGGAAAGGAACAAATAGAAATGTCAATTTCTGAAAGAAAGGGGGAGGGAATCAGGGAATTAACTGAAAATCATTTAAGAAGAGATCACATACTTGGAAGTTATTGGTACCTCTTCCTACCAACTACAGGTTTCACTTCCCAAAAACAACAGAAAACGTTTTTGGTCCTTCTCTGTGTATGTATGCATGTGTGTGTGCGCATATGTGCGTGTGTGTGAGCCTGTATGTGTGTCCATGTGTGTGTATGTGTGTGTGAGCATTCATGCCCACACACGCGCACACACACACAAGTGTATACTCAAGGGTCTATGTGTGTGTGTATATATATAGTCATATATACACACACACATATATAATATATAAATTTTCAACAGTGCTTCTCCGAAAAAAGTTCCATCTATAAATATAATTTTATTTACTTTATTTTAAAATTATCTGCCTCCCTGTAGTTATTATTTTTTGAAGGGGGTTAACCTGCTGAAGTTTTGCCAAAATGGTGACTGGCTTCGTTTAGGTTCGTTGAACTCAAAGACTTGCGACTGAGCAATGCCATCTGGGACCAGGTACTGGCCTTGGTTCAATGGGTCCTGCGGTGGTGGGTAGGAAGGAGGAACTGAGCGGGCAGAGTTGACACCTAGAGTAGACAGAAAATCAAAGGAATACAGCATAAGGAACAAAGTATTTCTTTTTTTTGTGTGCAAGTACTAGAGCTTGAACTCAGGGCCTGAGTACTATCCCTTAGCTTTTTCACTCAAGAATAGAGTGCTACCACTTGAGCAACACCTTGATTTCTGACTTTTTGATGGTTAATTGGGGATAAAAGTCCCACAGACTTTCTTGTCTGGGCTGGCTTTGAACCTCAGTCCTCAGATGTCAGTCTCCTAAGTAGCTAGGATTATAGGCATGAGCCACTGGTGGTTGGCTCAAGAGCTAGTTTTGAAAGATGGTAAATATCAGAAATAGGAAGACACTAGACATCAGGAGACAATATGGAGATACTAAGGAGGGAGTTCCACTTTAAAATTTTCTTCATTTTGTGGTTCAAACATTTTAGATGTCCTTTGCTTAACTAACCCTAGATCCTAAAGGGTTTTTGTCTATTCTCTTCTATGAGTCCTGTAGCTTTACATCTAACTCAATGACAAGTCTTATTTAATTTTGGACATGCTGCGAATATAAGTGAGGTTTTCTTTGCCTGTAGAAGCCCAATTGTTTCAGCATCATTTATTGAAAAGCCTCCCCTTTCTCCACTGAACTAATTTTGTGCTTTTGACAAAAATCAGTTATACATATCTGTGTAGGCTTATTCCTTTGTTCTCTTCCACTGATATGTCTATCCCTGTGCCAAAATTACACTGCCCTGGTTATTGCTATATTAACGAATGTTGAAATTGGGTAAATTGATTACTCCCACTTTATTCTCCTTTCTCTAAATTGTTTTAGTTATTCTAGGGTATTAATTTGATTTTCGGCTGGCCCTAAAGCTCCTGGAGATGAGGCTGTGCTCAAAGCTATGGTGAATTCAATGTTGATAAACTCAATTGAATTGAATGGGAATTACCACTGAACTCCAAGATTTTATATTATATATATATATATATATATATATATATATATATATATATATATATATGTTCTTAAAACCAAAGCTGTGAGAAAGGCAATAGTGTAGTGAAAAAGGCCTTTCTTAGCTTAGTTCTTCTCTGCTATTCTAGCCAGTCTTATGCTCCCTGAGAGAAATGCTTGATAATATTCCATTGTGTTACAGATGTTCTTAGAAGGAGACATTAGAATAATTGCCCATTTAATGACATCTGTGCTCTATCATTTTTTTTTTGGGGTCCGGTCATGGGGCCTGAACTCTGGGCCTGGGCACTGTCCCTCAGCTCTTCAGCTCAAGGCTAGTGCTCTACCACTTGAGCCACAGCGCCACTTCTGGCTTTTTTCTTTTTGCTTATGTGGTGCTGAGGAATCAAACCCAGGGCCTCAGGCATGAAAGGCAAGCGCTCTACCACTGAGCCACCTTCCCAGCCCCAGTGTGCTCTATCATTTTTTTTGTCAACACCTTTGAAAATCCTTTATTAGAAGGCTGTTTGAAATGACAACTTCCACATTGCTCTATCATTTTTAAGGAGAGTTAAAGAAGCTATTTCTCATGGGTATGAGAGAGAAATATTCATGTTCTTCCCATGTATATTTTGTAACTATTCAGTTACAAAGTTGGCAATTATTTTCACATGTGAAAGCATGTTGTGTTTTGACAACATATAACCCATCACAACCTTAGACCAGGGAATCTTGAAGACCAGAAAAAGAAAGATGAGAGGAAATTAATAGGAACTCAGGGAAGCTTAAAATTAGAGGGTTTAAAGAGTGCTTTTAAAATAAGAAAGCTGTTCAGGGAACCAAGTTTAGATACTGGGAAACAAAAAGAAGGTCTGGAAGGGGAGCCTGGCAAGGAAGGAAGGCTTGGTATGAGTTAGTAGAACTACCTCCTGATTGGTGGCTTTGTTGTTATTCCTTTGTTTGGAGTGTTCTCCCTGAAAAGATCAACCATTCCCAGATTGTTAGAGGGAAACTGGCAGGGCTAAAAGATTATCATGTTACCATGGAAGCCAGTAGAGAAAATCCGAGTGAGAGAAGGTCAGGAGATGGCATCCTTCAGAGTTGGTAAAGGGAGGCTGCTAGTATATTATCTTATTTGCTATCTGAAGACTATAGGTGGCTGGGGCTCTCTCCCTCTCTCTCTCTCTCTCTCTCTGTGCACGTAAGAGAGACAGAGAGAGAGAGAGAGAGAGAGAGAGAGAGAGAGAGAGAGAGAGAGCATCCCATGGACTTTCCTTACCAGGCTGGCTTTGAACCGTGATCCTTAGTTCTCAGTCTCTTGAGTAGCTAGGATTACAGGCATGTGCTACCAACACCTGTCTGGCTGTAGCTTTATTGCTCACATGTCTATCTTAAAGGGGTATTCCCTTACACATATACTTACAACATATCTCTAGATTATTGCCTCTAGAGCTATCTCTTACATTTTAACCTCCAAAAAGATGATGGTTAGTGGCTTTAATTCCCTTCCTAAGGGGAATCACATTTTCATGATGATGCATGATCTGATGAGGACTTTTAAAGAGCATGAAGTAATTGAAAGAAAGGCAGGTCTAATCAGAAGTGTCCAGCTAGGTATGTCGTTTAATTAGGAATTGGCTATTCACAGGCACTCACCCTCTTCAATCAAAGTGAGATTCATTGGAAATAATTAAGGGTTACTTTATGTGGCTATTAGAATTTCAGGCAACTTGAATCTGATCATTTTGTATGGTGACTCATTCAGAACCAGAGAGCCTACTGAGAAAGCAGAAGGAAGGGCACAGGGAAAGTGAGTTCTCATTAAGATTCCCAACCCCTGGGGATAGTGACGATAGTTGTCAGTAATAGAAACAGCTGTCAGTAATTGGTGAATCAGTAAAGTGAGTGTTTCTTTCCCAGAGACCTCAACAGAAACTTGATATGGAAGGCAGAAAGCAGGGAACTCAGAGTCAAGCTGATTCAATTTTGAATCATTTCACCCAGAAGACCCTCAGTTTCTCTATCTGGAAATAAGGGTAGCCATGTCCATCTTTTCAGGGTTACCATAAAGATGACCTTATGTAAAGATGTTCATATTGAATAGATATTCTAATAAGCAAAAGGGATCGCCTTCTTTGTGCTCAGCTGAATATTTTATTTTTGTTCTGGTCCATGAAAAAGCTTTATTTCACATTTAAATTGATTCTCTATATATTCTCTTTTTTAAGTACTCCAGTTTGTGGTATAGAGGAAGACAGAGACTATGTGAATCTTCTATCTTGGTTCAGTTTGAGGATCTCCATTCTGATTGGGAATTTCTGACTTGGCCCCAGGCCAATGCAAGAAAGCAGAACACATATTTATACTTATTAAGTAAATCCTACACATAATTGCCAATATATTTTTTAAAACTTTCTCATTTTTTGTTCCAGTTCTGGGGCTTGAAATTAGAGCCTGGGCACAGTCCCTGAACTTTTTTTTTTGGTTGGTAAAGGGCTTTAACTCTGGGCCTGGGCGCTGTCCCTGAGCTCTTTAGCTCAAGACAAGCACTCTACCACTTGAGCCACAGCTCCACTTCTGGCTTTTTCCTGGTTATTTGGAGATGAGTACCATGAATCTTCCTGCCCAGGCTGGCTTTAAATTGCTGTCCTCAGATCTCAGCCTTTTGAGGAGCTAGAATAAAAGGTGTGAGCTATCAACACCAGATAAAGTAAAGCAAAGGAGAACAAAACATGTAGGTAATGACTGATCTTTGGATATTACTATATCATTTTCTCCTGAATGTCAAGCCTTTAGGACCATTTGAAACCTATTTTCAGGGCTGGGAAGGTAGCTCAGCAGTAGAGTGCATGAGGCCCTGGGTTTGATTCCTCAGCACCACATAAACAGAAAAAGCCGGAAGTGGCGCTGTGGCTCCAGTGGTAGAGCGCTAGCCTTGAGCTGAAGAGCTGAGGGACAGCACCCAGACCCAGAGTTCAGGCCCCAAGACCGGCAAAACAAAAAAAAAAAGAAGCCTATTTTCAGCAACACATGAGGATTTGGAAACCACCCTAGCACTCCAAGTACATCCCAGTATGGAAAGGGGTTCCTCATATACAGAGTAAGTAGGGGTGAAGGAAAGAATACCTTTTTGTTTGGGGACTTTTCTCACAGTCATGGCAGCCTGCCTCTTCTGGTTTTCAGAAATCTCAAAGCCTAAAAAAAAAAACCCAAGAATTTCTTATGACAAACATATATTTCTTGAATGTATAAATCATTATAACTTTTCTGGAGCAGCAACAGTAAAATTTCATCAAAGTTTTGAAACACAGAAATGTCTTTGGTCCAGTAATTCCTTTCTAGGAAATACACTAAGGAGATTTATTAAAAACTCAGATATTGACTTACATTTTTTCTGGATATAAATCCACTCAGTAGGGTGAATGCTGGATCATAAGGCAGTTCTATTTTTAGTTTTTGAGGAAGCCTTCATATTGCTTTATATAATGGCAGTATGTAAGAGTTCTCTTTCTATTTTTGATCATTCATCAGTTTTCTTTTTGATAACAGTTATTCAAATTGGAGTGAAGGAATAGCTTATGGTGATTTTGATTTGCACTTCCCTGATAATTGATTTTTCTTTTGCATTTATTTATAGGCTTTTTTTTTACTGGGTATCACATTTACTAGGCAGGTACTAAACAACTAATTTTTCCATATAAACAATAGAACAAGATGATAAGGATATATTAAAATATTTACAAAGATCTTGTATGTTAATATGTGATTTTTTAAAAACTTTTTACTACAGTTAAAATGATTTACAGATTTCTTACAGTAAAGATGATTTACTGTTTTAATCATACTAGAAAAAAAACTCCTTGAAAAAAATGACAAACTTGTCAGAAAATAATTTATGGAAGTTTTTGTGTTAGAGTTGGATTTTTTTAAGTCACAGGTTATTAGGGAATTTTAGGGGAGACATGATGCTGGAGGCAGAGGGAATAGAGAAGATCTTCTAATTGATTTAGATAGTGTACAGTAAGACCATTCCTTTACTAGCTCTAACAGTCTAAAGAGACCCTACTGATACTTCCCACTGGGAGAATAATGTAGCGACATCTCTCTATCATTCCACAATATGTCTCAATGTTCATATACTAAAAGCAATTTGACTGTAATGAAAGTCTAAAAGTGACTTCAATGTGTAATCTATCCAAGATCTGAGGAGACTGGATTTATTGGTCTTTCTGGTCATCCATATTTGCCTCCTGGACATGTTAATTTCCAACATGGAAGGATAAAAGAATCTGTTTGCAACAGGATACAAAGGGAGAGTCCATTTTCCTAGAGGCAGTTGTTATGAAATTGACCATACCAGCATTTTAAGGTACAATTCATCCCATAAGGAATGGGGGAAAAATAGAAACTGTATCTTCTTAGGGAATTATAAAAGGTAACTGCTTGATATTTTTATGACAGAAACAATACCAGGAACAAGATTCCAGATAGAACTTATAAGTTAAAAGCTATATCTAAATGGCATCTAAATACCATAATCTGTATTGGTGGGAGTGGTGAGGGTGAGGGGAAAGGGGCAAACAGATGGGGAGAGGAAGGGTGGGCAAATGCAGTCATAATATTCAATGTATATATATATATATATATATATATATATATATATGAAAATGAAACTAGGTAAATGAAGGTATGGGTAGGGTTGGGAGAGATCAGGGAGAGTAATGAAAGGGTGACATTGATCAAGATGCACTGTACTCACAAACTGACATGTTGGATTTAAACTTATTTGTACAATTACTTAAAGACAATAAAATAATTTAAAAAGAAGCATGAAAAACATTTTTCTTAGCTGTGTCTCTAAGCAAAAGGGGAACAATCTGTTTCAAACCATAATGGATGTTTTATTGTGAATCTAAATCATACAAATGGTCATGGTTTTAGACTGTTGCATTTTGCATAATTTACTTTAAAATAGATCCATATGGAACATGATACAGATGTGAAAAATCATTTTAATTTATCGTCTAGGGGCATTTATTTAATATCTGAAATACATCCTCCGGAGTGATTTGTTAACAAATTAAAAACTCTCTAAGCTTTTGTGCTAGAGGCTAAAACTATCAACATTTCAGCCATCTTCATGGAGAAGACTTTATTAGTCTAACATACATCAGTCATATCTTTTGGCAAAATGTTATTCAAGAATCTACACGCTGGTGGTTCACACATGAGGAGGCTGAGATCTGAGAATCATGGTTTGAAGCCAGCCTGGGAAGGAAAGTCTGTAAGACTCTTATCTCCAATTAGTCACAGAAAAAGCTGGAAGTGGCACTGTGGCTCAAGTGGTAGAGTGCTACCCTTGAGCAAAAGGAGTTCAGGGTCAGCACCCAGGCCCAGAGTTAAAGCTCTAGGACCAGCAAAAACAGTTATTCAAAATGTATATCAGCCAGAAATATTTCTACATACACTTTGTCCCTCAAAATAACTTAGTGTAAGATTCTAGTGAGTTCTATGATCTATTCCCTTTAGAAGGATGCTTGAAGCTTGTGATTGAAAACAGGTCCTTTACCTTATTCCTCTTCAAGTCTGTGTTGTCAGACTCTGACTAGAAGGTTAGCTGAGAGCCACGTGCTGGTGTATCACACTTTTAATCCTAGCTACACAGGAGGTTGAGATCTGAGGATCATGTTTCAAAGCCAGCTCAGGCAAGAAAGTCCTTGAGGCTCTTATCTCAAATTAACCACCAAAAAACCAAAAGTGGAGGTGTGATTCAGGTGGTAGAGAATCATCCTTGAGCAAATATGCTAAGCCAGAGCACAAGGTTCAAGTCTCAGTAATTGCAATATATATATATATATATATATATATATGTGCATATGTTTATATACACATACACACACACACACACACACACACACACACATATATATATATATATATTTTTTTTTTTTGTCGGCCGTGGGGCTTGAACTCTGGGCCTGGGCGCTGTCCCTCAGCTCTTCAGCTCAAGGCGAGCGCTCTACCACTTGAGGTACAGCGCCACTTCCGGTTTTCTGGTGGTTTATTGGAGATAGGAGTCTCACGGTCTCTCCTGCCCAGGCTGGCTTTGAACCGTGATCCTCAGATCTCAGCCTCCTGAGTAGCTAGGATTATAGGCGTGAGCCACCAGCGCCAGGCCACACACATATATATTATGTAATAAAACAATGGTGACATAAAAGAAAGTTGGCTGAGGGCTAAGGAACATAGCTCAGTAATAGAGAACTTCTCTAGAAATCACAAAGAGGAAAGTTATCTGAATTTTGTTAGCATAATTCTACTAAATTTGTTCTGATCAACCATTTCACAGAGGGCATTATCATATATCTAAAGAAAGAGCTGAGACTTCATGGAGATTTTAGAAGTTATGCTTGTTTACATGTTTGTTTGCTAATAAATATATACTTTGGAAAATTAAGTCTGAAGATGGTTTTCTTTGCTACATTCTTATTTGGTAATGAGATTTTAGAGGAGTCCAATCTATAATTCATACCTCTCCTATTAAAAAAATACACACAAAAGAAACATCTAATAGTAAGAAACCACCATACTGGTTTAGGTCAATTTGCAAAAGAAATCTTCTCTCTGAATCTAGGAATATGACAATTACAATCCATTGTCCTTTTCATAATTATCTTTACCCTCTCAGGTCACTTACCAATTTTTTCATCTTCCTGTACCATTTTCCTCTCTTCTCTGAAAGCCCTGAGCCAACGTATTTTCTCTTCCAGCTTCTTGGCAAAGAACAGATGTACCTCTTCTGTTTCCTTGTTGTGAAGCTTGAAAGCATTCTTCATGCTGACGTTAAAGTCATCATCTCTGCCATCTTCAATGTCAACCACCTCATATTTATCCATGTCAATGCGGCCTTTGTAGTATAGGATGTCTCTCCGGATTAAGTCCTTGGTGTGAAGGAAGACAAGGTTTTTTTACTAGAGTTACAAGCAGAGTGGGTATCGGGACAGGTGTTATTGTTTTGGAATACAAATGGCAACTGCCATAGCCTAAAATTTGGCAGATTAGATTAGCAGTCTGACATTGAGAAATTGGTTAGATAGATGACCTAGAGATATCTCACATCTAAGACTGTCTCAGATTTCAGCATTAAACCTTCAGTGTGTTTGCAAGACCGCTGATAGGATTCAGGAAGTAGTACACTGCAAAAGGACTAATAAATAGCATGAGTGTTTTTTTTTTTGCCAAATCAGGAGCATAAAATGAGCTCATTGGCTTTCTGCAACTTGCTGAGATATTCTACCAGGTCAGTAAGACCAAGAAATCAGATTTCAGGGCTGAGTGGTAAGACTGGCTGAGTAGCTGGTGGATTACCTGGGTCTAATAACTTAACACTTGGGACTTTAGAAAAGACAGTCTGGCAGTAAAAAGCAGGACAAGAGTAAATCAAGAGCTGAGCACTGGTAGCTCATGCCTGTAATCCTAACTTCTCAGGAGGCTAAGATATGAAGATCACAGTTCAAACCAGCCTATGCAGAAAAGTCTGTAGGACTCTTACCTCCAATAAACTGACAAAAAGCTAGAAGTGGAGGTGTGGCTCAAGTGGTAAAGTGCCAGCCTTCAGCAAAAATGCTAAGGGATAGTACTTAGGCCCTGAGATCAAGTCCCAGCACTGGCATAATAAAAAAGTGAATAAGAAAGGCTCATATATTAACATAGATTGATTTCCAAAATCTTTTTATATGAAAAGCAAAATTTTAGGTATATGCAAACAGTATGCTGCTTACTTGTTATTGCTGTTTTGCTTATGTACCCAGAATTGGGTTAATCCTAATTCTAGTTGATGAAAAACTCACTGTGAGTCCGTACACAGTGCTTTTATTATTTTGATTCCTTGTTTATACTTTTCATGATGTAATTAATACTGGTAAAGTCTCCATCCAATGTAAAAGCAATACTGTAACCCCAAGGTACCTTCCATCTCAAATCTCATGTTCACCATTCAGATAGTTTTTTTTCTGTATAGTTTATCTCCTTTGTATTGGTTCCTTTTAAAAACATACAAAACAATACTACAATACTATATACTGTTTAGACACATGTATAACAAGTTCAAAATGATAAATACATGACACTGATATATAGCAAATTCAAGAGAGTACATAGGAGGAAATTGGGAAGAGGTAAGGAAATCAGAAGGAAGGGAAGAAAAAGAAGGGAAAAATGAGAGTGAAGGAAAATAGACTTCATTTGTAATGGATTAGTTCTTAAATTGGATAGTAAATACATGAATGCTCATTGCATCTTTTTGAATGTTATGTTTTCCTAAGTAACAAAGGTAAGCAGAGGGATGGAGGCAGTGGTATATGGGTCTACAGAACATCAAGATATGATAAATCTTTTCCAGATGACCTTTTTAGTCCCTATTCTTTATCCTCTACTGCTGGGATATGTGATATGGCTAAGGAATGCCCCTGTGAGACCTGTTCTGACAGATGTCCTCTATTAGTAGCCAGAGCCCTTCTGGTCAACTCCTCCTACTTTGCTTGTATCTTAGGCTTTCAGTCAACCTAGTAGAAACACTTGTTATATTCTATTAACATAATACAGAATGATGAAACCATTTCTATGACTAGACCTGGTAGCTCATATTTGTAGTCCCAGCTACTCAAGCAGACAGAGATCAGGAGAATCACAGTTTGAGGCCAGCCCAGGCAAAAAGTTAGAAATACCCTCATCTCTACAAATAAGCTAGGCAATGGTATCCTGTGGCTATCATCCCAGCTATGGGGAGTATAAGCATGAAAGTCACAATATGAAGCTGGCCCCAGGGAAAAATGCAAGGCTCTGCCTGAAAAAATAACTAAACACAAAGGGCTGGCATATGTGTGGTTCAAGTTATAGGGTGCCTGACTAGAAAATATCAAGCCCTGAATTCAAATTTAAGTATTGTCACAAAAAATCCTCCCAAACCATGCCCTACTAAATTCCCATTGTACGGAATGATCTAAGAATGATGTCTTCTTAGTTTTGGGGTACCTATGAAGGGTCTACCTTTGGCCATTCACATTCCTAATCCTAATTCTGCAAGATACTGCATTGAAGAAGGCTGTTTTTGAAAGATTCTCAATATAGCTCTATTGATCTCAAAGCTCCATACTGAGAAACGTAAGTGTTGGATGTCTTTACAAATCATTTCATTGTTCTTTTTCCTAATGTAATATTTGTACATATAAATAAACTAAGATGAGTGATCCCTTGGATATCTCTGACATCAAGCTCAGATCCCTTGGCTACCTCTAGCATCAAGCTATAGGATGGAGTGACTTGCATGCACTGACTTCCAAAGTCTCAGAAGTACTCTTATGTGATAAATGTTCAAAATGTGAAACTAGTTTGGTATAAAAGGAGGGAAAGCTGAGAAAATGGATGGGTGTAAGTTTTTGTGTGCTGTTACTGTGGCTTAAACTCAGTGCTTGGGTGATATCCCTTACCTTAGCTTTTATTTTTTTTTGCCAGTCCTGGGGTTTGAACTTAGGGCCTAGGCACTGTGCCTGAGCTAGCACTCTATCACTTGAATCACAGTGCCATTTCTGTTTTGTTTTGTTTTTTTTCTGTTTAAGTGGTACTAAGGAATCAAACCCAAGGCTTCATGGATGCTAGGCAAGCACTCTACCACTAAGCCATATTCCCAGCCCCCTTACCTTAGCTTTTTTGCTCAAGATGAGCACGCTGCCACTTGAGCCATGACTCTAATTTTGGCTTTTTAGTGGATAATGGGAGATAAGAGTCTCATGAACATTCTTGCCCGGGTTGGATTCAAACTACAAGCCTCAGATTTCAGCCTCCTGAAGAGCTAGTTTTATAAGTGGCCACTGATACCTGGCTGTAATCTCTCTTGATCTCAGAAAGGCTTGAATTCTGACTTATAAATGGTAATACAATACATGCAAACCTGGAAAAACAGATCTGGATAATACAGCTTTTGGTGGGTACCTACCTGGCTAAAAATATTAGTAGCCTCAACCTCCATGTTCCTAACTTCTGTTTATATTCTTTCTTCCTCACATTAACAAATTGGTGTCTCATGATTATTGTCTGCCCTCAATATTTTCTTAGTTTCCAAAAATAGAAAATATATACATAATCTTGGAGTTACGTTAATGACATCAATTGGCACTCCTCTTATTTACTTAGATGTGTAAAGATGACAAGGAACTAGAGATAATTTTTGCTTCTGTGGCAGGGGAAAAGGGATAGAGTAATGTGTTATTAAAAGTCTTCTTTTTGCAGCTCCCTAGAGGGTTGAATGTGAGTTTAAAGTATCAGATTAGTCATAGCCAAGTGTAGAGATGTAATAGGAATGATCTACTGCTCAGAAAGTCCAGTCAGAAAGGACATCTCAGGTCAGTGAAACAACATGGAGGAAGAGAAAGAGCATAAGGAAAAGTGCAAAGACTAAATTTAAGTTTTAGCTGCTTATTTACTAGCTGTATTGTCTCAAAAAAGCTACTTTACATAACTCTCTCAGATTCAATTACCCACGAAATAAAGAGAATTTTCTTCATTATGTCAAAGCTGTGTGTGTGTGTGTGTGTGTGTGTGAATGCTAATACTGGAGCTTGAACTCAGGGCCTGAGCTTTGTTGCTCAAAATCTCGTGCTCCACCACTTGGAAATTCTATGTACTCTTGATGTATAAGGGCGTTATTTGCCAACTCACTCTCTGCAAACCACAGATCTACTTGGGCTCACAACAATTATATCCCAACCGAATCTCCTATTTCCATCTTTGTAGTCTTTATGGTCAAATTATCGGATTATAACTCTAGTTCAAGCTGTTGAGGCTCACCTTCTTTAAATCCTACACTAACTATAAAGACTTTGACACATGACACATTTGATACTTAGTCATCATGCCTCTGGCAGCTTTTAGTTTCATCTACCTACTCACTTAGGCTGTGCCCCACACTCCGCCTTCCTTGATCTTGTGTCACTCAGAAATTATCCAGAGACAGGAAATTGAGAAAGCCTCAGATAAATCTTGGGGTTTTAGCATAGTAAGGAAATAAAGCCCTCCTGAAGCCTGGTTGCCTAGTCTTGTTGGGACCAGGCTGCCCACATGTTACTGGTGTCCTGAGTGCTTTCCACAGGGACATGGTAAGTATATTTCCAAAACAGATGCTACTTAGATCATTATAGCTTCCCTGTCTAATTAAATTTGTCACTCCTTTTTTCCTTTCTGCTTACACATGCTAGGATATACTTATGGGGCTAGTGCTTCTCCAGAAGAGTCTTGACAATCTGAAGATCGATAAACAGTCCTAGCTTGTGTCTCCATCAAGGAGTTTTTCCTCAGCTGTGACATTACAGAATTTAAACAGCTTCCAATGATTTCAATTTGGTTTCACTAGGTACTCTTGTGTTTTAGTAAGACACTACAGGAAATTTGTCCACATGAAAGCAGCTGCAATATGGAGAATATAATTGTTCAGGACTGCCTCATTCATTTATCACTAAGGTCCTTCTTCTCACCTTAAAGGAGATTCTGGTTTCTATTCATTAGCTTAGGCTACTCCAGTTTTCCCTCCAGATCCTGGAGAAGGCACATGAGACTAGGACTAGGTTTATCTTGGTCACTACTCTATTCTAGCATCTACACAGTATGCTTCATAGTTAAAATAATAACATCAAAGGACACTTAAATAACACATACCATGTACTATCTGAAGTGCTTTGTATTTATTAATTTAAAGCTAACAACAATCCTGTGAGATAAGTACATTTATGATGACATTGAGTACTGTAACTATACACGTGAACCATTAAGGAACTGAACCAGGAATAAAAGCTACTCAGAGCTTGTCTTCAAGCTCAAGGTATCTGACTCCAAAATCTTTGCTTTCATTTAACCACTATGCTAAATACTAAGTCCTAAAAAAATTTGC